AGTCTGTGACTCTCCTGCTTGTGTGTCCCTCAGTCTGTGACTCTCCTGCTTGTGTGTCCCTCAGTCTGTGACTCTCCTGCTTGTGTGTCCCTCAGCTTGTGACTGTCATACTCGTTTGATTGCAGGCTGTGCTGGGCCCCCTGATTGCCATTGCGCTGAAGATTTCAGACATCCATGAACGAACAGGCCGCAGGGGCCCCACCGTCATCACCTGAGCTCACCCGCCACTTTCCACAGGGGCCAAAAGAGACACTCTTCCATGAGGTTTTAGTTTCCAAACTTTCTTCAGTGTACGTGCCTTAAACCCTGCATTCTTTCAAGGGCTATGCCATGTTTCAGTTGAAATAGTTCCAGTGTAGTCTTCCCTTTTGTGTTGTTTTTTTTTTTTTCAGGTAACCGTTCCTTACCTACCTTTTTTGCTGCCATTTTAAAACATACTATACTGTTCATGTTGCCCCACTTTGATGACCGTGCTTGTCGGTTCTGAAACTTTGCTTGTTGTGCACATTATTCAAGTTTTCAAGGACAAAAAGGGAGCTTGAGACAGTTCAAGCATATACGTTTTTAACCCTCACCGTGATGGTTTTCTTGCTGCAGTATTCTTTTAGAATCTTAATGAAATATTAAACAGAGGAACATGCATAACACAATGTGTATTAATTAATATTACTATCATGCTAATTAAGATCACTTTTACAGAAGTGGAGCATTTGGTATTTTCAGTCAACATGAGTTGGTAAACATGGTCTGATGTATGTGTTTGTGTGTATATATACATATAATAAATGTACTCATACCACCTTGTAGTATGATAGAGCTGCTGAAATCTCTGTTTAAAGAGAAAAGAGATTTGTTGTCAAAGAACTCTTGGCCAATGTTTTTACATTGGGCTCTAATTCTACAAAAATCTGTTAAAGCCTACTTACTGTATGTCTCAGTTTGAGCTTCTGAACTGAAATCATTGCACTCTCAACATGATGGAATTTAATTAAGTATCAGTATATAACAAGATAAAAGAAAAGAAGACAACAAAATTTAAAAATTATTTGAGACTAGCAGAATAATTTTTAAATTTGCGGATTGTTTTTTTTCAAGGAGTCTAAATGAATACTGCAGTCATAAATAATTGTTAAAATAAACACCAGTCATTTTTGCGACACAAACCCAAGATTTGTTTTATTAGATGCAGTTAAACACATTTGCTGTATTTAATTTTTTTAACCTAAATTGGAACTTAATAAACTTTAATGTTTGTGTGAAGATGAGTATTTTCCTTTTGTTTGAATGGTATAGTGTAGCTTGTGTAGCTCTAATACTATTAATAACACAAACACAACAAGTATTCAATGGTTAAAAAATGTGTATTGAAAATACATTAAGCTGTGAAGACCTGAGTTCAGGTCTGACTGAAATTGTCAAGGAAACTGCCAAGGTTTAAATAACTACTTAGTCAGACCCCAGCAGATATTTCAAATCTACATCAATAAATAAATATCAGGGCACAATTTAAAACTTGCTAACGGCCAGTTCTAAGCAGATACTTTTTTTTCACAGAGTGAAACTATTAATGCTTCAAAGGGATCACTGGGACACATCACAGAAGCCGAGATACTACCATATTCTTTCATAACATGGCTGACACATGACACTGATGGAATCACTGAATGTACAGCATATGATGAGCATTGTTGAACTGAACAGACAAAGTTTTCATCTTTACTTTCTCTTGTCTTCTCATCTTCTTCTAACTGGCTTCACAGCTAAACGTATAATTGAAAAGCACAACCAGTATCTGTGTGTTTCCGACCGCAGATATTTCTAAGCGCAGTGTATTGGGGGGTGCTGTCTGTGGTCAAGGACATTGTTCTGGATGGGTTTCATGGTTTATGACTGTAGGAACACACCCACCACAATACGGGCATTGGTGTTCCTTTAAACAAGCACCACTGCATCAGCCATCACTATATGAGTTATAAATATGGTTTTGCCTAAGAAAAAGTCACGTACCATATTGATTGATTTAGCTGCAAATCTTTGCTTGTAAAGTTATGAAATGATCTTCTCTATGAAATACATGACCCACCCAGAATACATTAATGTGTTTCTGCTTCTTTGAGCACCACTACCAGTAAAGCAAATGCAATGACCAGGGTGAAAAATATAGCAGGAAATACTCCTCTCACACAATGCCGTTTACGGAGATTTAGGTCCCAATAACCTGAAGATAACCCCCGCCAGTTGTATTGCTGAGGGAATGGAGGATTGGTCTCAAGATCCATTTGGAATTATTGTTTTACTTTCTTTGTGTAAATGTAATCTTTCATTTGAGTGTAGAATAATCTCTGCCCTCCACTGGGAACACTATAAAGATTCTGATCGGATTTACTTAATCTTGCTTGTATTTTGCCCCTTTACTGCAATAAAATAACATTTGATTGAGCCCCATGTACTTTTCCCTTTCTGCAATAATAAATGAAAGGCTTTGTCCTTATTAGTGAGGTAAGTCATTGTCACCCATGACTTTTATGATTAGACATGCTGAAAGATATCAGAACATCATTTCTATATGGCTATGATTGCCATTATAAAAAGATTACTTAACATTCTAGCTGATTTCCTAAAGGTGTGGCATGGTATAATTGATGTGATATTTTTTCCAGTTCACTAAAGCAAACCTGTGAGTAAATGACAGCATCCTGTATGAAAACCATATAAATCTGTGAAGCATATTTTTTTGGGAAATTAATATCTAATTCCCCACAATGTTTACTCCAGTCTCAGTGTTTTCACACTGATCTTGAATTAACTCTTAAGAGATTAGTCTTTGGGTAGGTTTTGGTTTTCTAAGGAGACACTTTCATAGACAGTGTAGTTTCAGAAATGTTTATATGTATATCATTGTATATTTTTTATCTCTATGGGATCTCTATTATTAAACAAACCACAGTACAATATTTGAAAAACAGTATTTTCCCCAAGTGGCTTTAGAATTGAAGATTGCCATCCAGTATTTCATTATAATCATTCATATTGTAGCTGACATGTAACTTGAGAATTGTTCTATTATAGAACATAGTGTGGCCTACAATGGCATAATACAAATGGCAAAGGCTTACGGCACCTTAAAAATGCTTTCTGCATACCCTGCGGCTGAGCTACTTTGAGCTACAGTAAATACGTAACAGTATTCAGATAATTGTGCAGTTTTTTACTTTTTATTGCTTTAAAGTTTGCACTCATTACTTTGAAATAGCAATTAATATTTGTTATATACACAACCTACTCCACATATTCAAAGCCAAAAACTAGAAGAAATTAGTAAATCAATAATACAGTTGTAAAAAGGATAAGATTACGCAAGTACTTAAAACCGATTTGCTGCACATCAAGACTCTTAAAAATGACCTTAACAAGCCATACAATTAGATGAATAGCCTTAGTCTCTGTGCAATAATAGTGGTTCACATGATTTCAGAATAAATATACCTCTCTCTGTAAGGTTCCTCTGTCCAGTAGAGAATTTCATTTTCGTGTACAGTATAAAACTAAGGAATTCAATGACTTAATATACCTGAAGGAAACCTGCCAAATTGAGCTCAAAGTACCACAAGCAATCACCATTCTCTCAAATTGCCCCTGTTCTGACCCAGTATTATCTGCTGAAGTTAAAGGTTGGTTTGTGTAATGTATTAACTCTGCAATTTTTGCCATCATTTTTGAAAACTATACTTTCTAGTTTTCATATATTGTGTTATTTTAGATACGCTTTTGGAGGGTTTCTAACCACTGCCAAACACTATAGAATCATTGGTCAATGTGTAATTATGTAGTCACCTACTGTACCTACATATATTAATGTTCCTATGATAAAATTATTAACAAAATTGCAGTTTTGATTGTACTATTCTGCAAAATTCCAATCAGATAAGGCTTTTTAATGTAGTATTATGTCAGCAATAAATCAAAAGGCTGAATGTTGTGCTGATGAATACATAACAATTTTGGCATAGTAATAATTATAAACTATTTTGTATTTTGTGCTGATTAAAAAGACTTTGTTAAGCATCTGGAAAAGCCTATAATTATTCTTTTCAAACGCAGAAATGTCTTGCATATTGTTCAGAACAGTTAGTACATATGTGGCTGGGAAAAAAGAAAAAGTACAATTTAGTATTTGTCAGCTCTTGTTTTAAAAGTCTGTTTAAAGCACAATCACATACCATTAAATAGGCTTTGGCAAATGCCCTATTTCTTTAGTTTTAGCTGCCTGGAGGTTGCTAACTTCCTTGGTATTGTATATTTAACCAAATGGAGTGAATGACCTACAATTCAAGACAATTGTCCACCTAGCTGTTAAACTGAACTGTCTGTTAAAGACATAAAAAAGGCACCAAAGGAGAATTATGTAATTATGTAATATGTACAGTATACAATATAAAAGTTTTTTTTTTTCTGCTAGGTGAGTCTACAAACCCTGTCTTTCCAGTAAAGAAATATTGTGCAACAAGCTTTATTTCTGTGTTAGCTTAATATGTTTAATTAGCAACAGTGCAAAGATACAGGTGAATGAAGTAGCAAGTAAAATTAGCCTTGCTTTTCAGAATATAGACAACTTCCAAAACATAATGAATTGCTGTACAATTAAGACATATGAAATATATTAAAAAAACAAAGACCAGGATCTCACTTTAAATTCATATATAATTTTTTTTATTTAAAAAATATAACTTTTCTTGCTGTCTTGTCAAAATTAAGTTCAGTTCTCATTGTTCACAGTTTGATACATTGACAAAAAGAAATAATTTTCATCAAAACACCTTTCTAGTCATTAGATAGTTCAGTAAAGTACATATACAGGCTGTTTCCCATCTTGTGCCCATTGATAATAACAATTATAATAATTGCTTACACAAATATAAAGCTTTTCTGGACTCTCTGCTCAAAGCGCTCTACAGGTAATGGGGACTCCCCTCCACCACCACCAATGTGCAGCCCTACATCAGCCATAGTGCGCCAATACATTCACCACACACCAGGAGGCCATGATTGGTAAGGGCCAATGGGAAATTTGGCCAGAACAACAGGGTTCCACACCATTGTCTGCAATGTTAAGCTCGGGCTCACTGTAGCCCTTTGTGAGACTAAGGAATAATTGAAAATTAATGGAGAGACAGGGCTGTCTAAAATATTCCATTCTTTTATATAATTTACTAATGGTCTTTAGTTGGCACTTGATTTTTGTACAAGATACAAATTTAAGGTGCATCATCAAAATGCATGTGCCTGAATTTGCACATTTTCATTCTTAGAATACTCATGTATATACAGGAGGTACGTATATACAGGAGGCATTGTGGTTTAGCAGCTTGCACTATTGACTCTCAGCTTCCGGGTTCAATCACAGCCACATGTTCTGTGCCAATTTGTGATCTCCTTTTTCCTTCTGTTCAGTAAAGACTTGCTGTGTTGGATTGATTAAGTGTTTCTGCATCCTGCACTAGAACAAGTGACTTCCCAACAAAGGATGGATGGGTCACCCATATATATGCTGTACGTGTAAAGAGCTTTTACCCTTTTTTGATATAAACAGTTTTATTATTATTACTGTATTATACCTGTAATACAATGAACACATCTCATCAACAGCAATTTAATCACTTCGTGAGGCACCTCTGTAAATACAGACAGCTGCCTTCAGTTCTTAAGTATGATTTAGGTATAGCGCCTGTACATTGATTCAACATATAATGTTGGACCAGCACCTACTTCCTCTCACCATGAGCCTTGTTTGAGGACTGTACGTTCCCATCCAGCAATCCCAGTTCTTCACATTCTGCTCACACTGTCAATGTCACTGCATCTCTCCGGACAGAGCATAGTGGAAGACACATGGAGGCGCTAGGTCACAATGGGCAGTTCTTCCCCTGCACTATACCACCCTATACAGCCCTGCACTCCTAGTGCAACAGGAGGGATGTATCTTCAGGCCCTGCTCCAAAAGTTCTTCCTTACCATCTACCTATGGACTGTGCTGTATGCTTCATTTTCGTCAGATTGTGAGCTGTTTGGTCTTGACTCCTGAACAGGGTATTGTTCATCCAGAGTTCCTTTTCACAGTGTCTCTTTGTAGGACGGAGGCTCTTCTTGACTGTAGGTTTCATCCACGACTTCTGAACTGCTTTCTGTGTAAAGGGGTGGAGCAATATTACATTGAAGTTCATCCACCATGACAAGGCTTCCTACAGCCAAACCTGGGCTCCTTTCAACAGACTCCTCATAGGAGGGAGGGTAGAAGTGAGGCCTGCAAAAATAAAGAAACACAACAGCGCACATTGCAATCATCAGATACATGAATCAATTTAAAGTCGAGTTTTGCTTTTTGTCAACGACTTACTTTAGAACTGCAGTACTTACTCTTGTGATGGTTTAACTGCCATTTCTTTTCATTTAACGATCAACTGATATACTACAGGCCTCTTCAGTGAGGATATTCCACTTCCATCACAGGTGATACAGCACTGTGAACGCATAAAATGCCTTTTCATTCTCACACCGTTCATTGCAATATCAGCATTCAGAATACATTGCATACATCTGTCTGTGCTTTTAATGATTTTCATTATTTACTAACTGTTCCAAACCTAGCCAGTCCCTTGTCCCTTGTTTTAAGACTGAGCTCTTGAAGGTCAAGTAGAGACTTGTGTTATTGCTCTGAACGGACATACTCACCTGTCCACTGTGCAGATACACACCCTGGTGTGTTGATGGCATGCCACTCTGGTCAAAAATCTTTTGTTCTTCATCCCGTGGCAGATATTCCATGAACATCCAGCCAGCAGGAGTAAGAATCCACAAGTGAAGCAAACACAGGAAAAGGTTAATTTCACTGTGAAATCACCTGTATTCCTCATGGATACCAGGAAAGCACCTAGGCATACTACCAAGAAGCCCACCACAGGCAATGTTGTGCGAGCTAGAAAACAGACTTTCTTTTGCATTTCCATCATCAGGTGTTCTGTTCGAGACAGCCTGATTACTGCTTGATCTGTCCCCATCTGGCTCTCTTTTTATACTTTATGGTGAGATTGGCTTTTACTGTGTGGAGCAGCCCAGGCACATCGGCACATGGTCGTTGCTCATTAACAGGTCCGCTAGTCAGGTGTTACAATATCAGCAGCATCGGCGTAAATGATGCAACACTAACTCCTGTGGGAAGGTGTGTGCAGAGCAAGGTGCTACACAAGTGATGATCACAATGCGATGTTCTGTGACAGGTGGGTTCTGTTCTGTCAAGAATTCCACAAGAGTGTGCAAAGGAATTTTTGTTTAAAGGTCAAAAAGGTTTAGTTAAGGCTTCGTACATGCTACTTATTTGAGTACTATCTGATAACCTTTTTTTTTTTTACAATTTTTCATGACATTGCGAGGTGCTTTATAATAAAAAAGGCAAAGCCCAAAACAATGGAAACATGTACAAATTCATATAGCGTACTACAAGATATAAAAAGCTGAGGTAACAGGATTTGAAACAGCTGACTGACTTGCAAGATGTAATACGTGCTGGGAGATCATTCAGCAATATTGAAACCAAGAGCCTGGTCACCTAAGGTTTGGAGCCTCGTTTTGGGAACTGTAACAGGGCCAGAGTCCAAAGAGCATAATGATGTGTAAGGTAGATGTATTGGGAGTGAACAGTTCATCAATGTAGTCAGGAGAACTTAAAGACGAGAAGTGCAATTTTGAATTAACTTCTGCTATCCACAGGTAGAAAATGCAAAAGCTATAATGAGATATATGCTCATTTGTTTTAGCATTTCTTAAGATCTGAGCTGAACAAGTTGCAACTTCTTAACATATTTCAATTGCAGGCACTGCATTAGGAAATAAAATCTGGAAATCAAGCATGCATTAGCACTGTGGGCAGCAGTGCAACAGTGCTTAGGGTTCTGGCATTGTAACTAGAAGGTTATGACTTCTTGAGTAAGGTGCTTCACCTGAATTGTTCCAATAAAATACCCAGCTCTATACAGTAAGAGGATGGGTGAAAAGAAACTGTGTTGACGTTGTTTATAGTCTAGTGATTCTCTATAAAGGAAATCAGAATTCCCTAAAACAACAAACTCTCTTCACAAGGTTTAAATACTTAACTCTAATCTGGCCTTTAAGATTGATTAAGGTTAATCCAAATAAGGACAGAAAACTGCCTCCCCTTAACCTTTGGAATAGGACCACACGTATGTACTACTTACCATAAAGTGACCTTGCAAAGTGACCTCAGTCATTGCAAGGACAATTGTAACCCTTTTTATTCCAAGTGGTACACTCTTGGGGAAAATGTACTGCAGGCGAAAGTGATCTGTTTCCCTAATCTAACTGAATCCTTTCCCAATTCTAACCCTATCCCTAAAGCTAAACCAACCTCAGCCCTAACCTGAAGAAGACTCCACAGCTGAAACGTTGTGTTTCAAACTGTAAGGATATACTGAAGCATAGTAGAATAAATCACATGAACAATGCTGGTGTTATAAACTGCTTTATTTTAAAGTTTAGTTATACCACAGATGCATGTATGAAAAAAAACTGAAAAAAACAATACTTTGAAAACATGTATTCCAGTTTTTTTAATTATATATTCAAGATGAAAATATTAATAATACAATAGGTTCTGTCTCTTAGATTTGCAATAAGCTTTGAATAGGTTTTTGAACAAAGGATACTACAAAAAACGTTTCAAAAATGGGAAATAAAAAATGACATTAAATTATGTTTGTCCCCTAAGTACTGGTGCCATTAAGTCTGAAGCCTCTTAGCATTCTACTTTACCAGAAAGCAGGCTACATTGGCAGTCCCAGTGATACTGTGGACTGGCTGAAAATCCAGTCCCATTGCATAAACTGTACTGCACTGCCTTCTTGAACTTTCTAAGAGTAAGGTTTTATCAGTCCTAAATTCATTGCGATCACAAGGCAGTTTCGAGCTGCATCAATGGCCGGCTGCTTCATGGGGCTGTCTTCCTGCTTGCCGATCACAGTGAGGATTTCCAGGAGCTCGCTCTCGATGAGTTTCTTGGCGAGCTCCTTGTCGGCATTGATCATGTTGTAAACAATCACGATTCCTCGGTGCTGTACTTCCGGCCTGTCGTGCAGACACAGCCTCTGCAGAATCTCCAGCCACTGTGCGGTCTGCGGGTGCAACACAAGTCACAGCTAATCGGGATCACGTCCGCAGAAAATATGGCACTGAAAATTGTGTGTTGGCTACACCGAAGAATATAGTGCCTTTGCTAACTGAAGAGAACCCCACGTTCATATATTGCAGTCTTTTCAATGGAAAGATTGTCTTTTACCACAGTATGTGGTTCGCATGTTAACTAAAACTTTTCTTTAATACTTTTTCGATATTAAACAGAATGCTTAGCTGTGTATTTTGCTATCATTTCATGTTGTAAGGCTACTTCAAGTGCTCTTTTTGAAAGGATGTAATGTGAGTACTTCACATTTCTTTCAAATGGGACGTCCAGTTTGGCCAGCTTTAAATATGGAGACCCAAGGTGATAGCTTTAATTTGAATTATTTTTGCGACACCCAGACAGAATGTTTCAGAGTTCAAGGGCTTTCAGTCACAAGGAACCTTGACAAAACCATGACTTCATTACAGTTAATAAAATGTTGGGCAACAAGCGTACTTTATATTTGATTAGGACATGAGTACGTAATTTCCATATTCAATCTACAGCAGCTCATTAGGCCAGATCTTATCCTGGTTTCCTGGTTTCCTTGTTAAGTGGACAAAGAGAAGGTGACTCCCCACCACTGAGTGGGACTCTGGGAAACACTGATCCCCATTTATACAGATGTATGGAGTAATGCAATTGAGGTACAGTACGTACCCATAACTCACCACTTATGAGCCCAGACCTTTCCACTACACTGCCCCCACTTACTTTACTAATGTGTACCTACTCATTTGTGTCATAATACTGGCCCAGCTGTTTGTTAATTTTGAGTACGTTGTACAGTATTTCACACATAATTGCATAGGATCTACTATTGTAAAAATGTCTGGAACATTTTTCAGGCGGGTAAGTTTGCTTATCCTCATGCATGCACCAGATTGGATTTCCCGGATACGTTTTGCTGAACTGCATTGTCTGTGTGAATAAGCACATCCAACCTCCCCCACCACTTCGTTTCCTTTTCTTCACTCCAAATGTTCATTGCTGCAGATGCCAGCTCGTGTGACTGTGTGAGTGCGAACGCTAAATCCGCATCTCGAGAAGTGTGGCGCAAAGGAAAATAAACATTAAATGTGGACGAAGAAGCTTCCGTTTCAAAGCTGTGCGGTGGCTTGGAGTGTCTGGGATGAGAACGGAGGTTGCACTCACCACGAGGGTGACCTTGGTGCAGATTTTCTGCTGGGCAGCCGTGAGCATGGCCAGAGCTCCAGCCGCAGCTATCTGGACCTTATCGTCATCCTCCCCGCACAGCAGAACCAGGAGTTTTAACTTGTCATTGCCCTCCTCCAGGTACCTCTCTTGGACCTGCCCCCCAGGACACACAGAGGCAGCAGAGTTAGTCTCTCAGAGTTCCTCTCACAGGTCACGCGTCAATAGTGACGTTCCGGATTGGCGTTCCGGTTCTCGGCAGTTCCAGACTCTCACGCATATGTCAAAACGCCAACAAACAAGCCTTTAAACTTTGTACCATTTGTAAACCTTGTAACATTTTGATGCAAAAAGCCTTTGTTCTAACAATCCTCTATTGATGTATGAAAGAGAGATAGATGTTCCATATAGGCTTCTTTGAAATACTGGATGTGACCATTAACAACTCAGCAAAACTTTGTTGACATTTTTCAAATGCTAGGAGGAACGTAGCACTGAGCTCAAGGAACAATAATCCAAGACCATAAGCAGTCAACTCTCCCCCATCCATCCGTTTTCTAAACATTTCTTCCAAAAGGTACACCCTGGATGGGACACCAAATAAACATTGCAGGCTAGACAGATGCACACACAGACATGCACATACCCACACCAAGTCTCTGGACTGTGGAAGGAAATCACAACACCTCTGTACAAATAGCACCCCAGGTGTGGAATTGGACACAGGACCCCAGCACCATGAGGTAGTAATGCTAACCACTGCACCACTATGCCACCCAACATAGGGAGAAATTGGATTTGTTTATGTATTGGAATTTATAGGCCATCTAGCCACTACTTACTTCTTTGCACACAATCATGTTGCACATGCACTCTGTCGCTGCCTGGCGGATCTGATCGTGCTCTTCAAACATGTAGTTCTCAATCTCTGGCATGGCTTTTTCCTTTATGATCTTTTTTCTAAGATTCAGAACAAAACCCAGTTATCTCACATCTTGCTCTATACATCATGACAACACAGAAGTTGTTAAATTTGTAGAAAACACAGAGAACTAAACCAGGTTCCACACTGAGGCAAGTGTTTCTGATGGTGAATTGAACAAGACGAAAGATTATAAAGAGAGAGTGTCTTGTTTTACCGGCTAATGTATGCCAGAATGGAGACTGGAGGTCCAGCAAGACGCAACTGCAGTTACAAATTGAACGCAGGCTTTAGCGCACTTTAGAATCAATATTCCTCTAAACACACCTGAGTTTTTCATTCAGCGCAGCCAGGTTTGTGAGGCCCCTCAGGGCTTCAAAGTTCTGCAGACCGTCTCGCTCTGTGTTGAGAAGGCTAACTAGGGGCCGCACCACTTCATAAATCTGCCAGAAAGAAATACAATAATCACAGTGTGGCAATGGCGGTGCTTTTATTGACATCACATTATTGTTAGTATCTTATTGTTTGTGTGAACTTTGCAGGAACATTTTTTCTTTTTTTTTCTGGTTCATAGAAGTGAAAATGAGAGGAGGCCGTACAGGTCCAAGGAGTTATAAGTATAAGAATGCAGGTGACCCTTTTTTCTAAGTTGTGAATTTGAGTGGATTAGAGAACACTTTGGATGTTGTGAGGCAGAGGGAACACATTCAGAAACCCTCTTAGCACATTCTGAGTGTTTGATGTGGTGGACGTCGTATTTGCGCATTATTACTCGACACTCTTTTGTTTTATGATATACAAGAGTAGATAAGCATTTGCATGGCTCTGAAAGAAAGATATCTGGTTGTTATTATAGTACTATAGCCCCACTGTGTGGAGTATGGTAGTATCTATCACTACCATACTCCACACTACCACGGGGTGAAAAGGAAATTTAAATCCCTTAATTGGAATCAGTCAGAGAATTGAAATCAGAGAGAGGTTGTACTTGAACTTGATTCAAATTCCCTGTTGATTAAAGGGTTAAACCCAGCACGTTCCGATGTATGGATTGGGATCTGCGAATTGCCTTTCTGAGACATTTTGGAGATCACTTTTTCGTGTTAATTTTTGTGGCCATTTTTTAATACAGGGGTATACCCTGACAGATTTTTGGGAGACGTTTTCCTCCTGTAATTTTTTTCCCCTTTTCATAATTATTTATACTAAATGTTTCTTCATTCTCGGCATGAATTTATGGGAATTTCTGCCTCCGCTGGACATAGGGCAATTTTTTTGTGTCTCTCCTCCTCACCGCTGCTGGCGGACAGAGGGTTTTGTGTCAATCAATGGTAAAAACATTCCAGTTAAATACATTATGAATCCATAATGTAACATAATTAAATCTGAAAAAGTCCAAGGGGGATGAATAATTTTGATAGGCACTGTAATAAAAGCTAACTTTGATTTTTCTAAGTATCTTGCCCCATCTGTTCTTGTGTTTCTACATGCCATGTACCTATGTTTTAGACTATAGGGTTATTGGAACAACTCAAGGTTTTTTCCATGCTGAAAAGAGAATTAAACACAATGTTTCAGCTGTGGAGCCTTCTTCAGGTGTGACACGTGAAACATTGTGTTTCTTCTCTTCTCTATTCAGCATGAAATAAACCTTTACTTGCTCCTTTGCAGCCTACGCAAGCTGATGCAGCTCCCTACTTGAACTATATACAGGAGGCTTATTGTGTTGCTTGACAGTACTGCTCCAAGGAGTCACACGCAAAGCATTTTTTAAAAGGAGTATTTTATAACAGTCATTGAAATAGCACAGGTTAGTGCTAACAGTGCACTTACCCTTTCTCCAGGGAAAGCAATCTCAGGATTGGCGATTGCAGCTATTTTAGCCAGTGCATGAGAAGCTTTTATCTTTCCAGCCTCAGTGCCTTCCAAGGCAAGGGGAATCAATGCCTGAATCAAACATTATTAAGAAAGATGAAAACCTTCCTTCTGCGATATCTGAGTTCCAGCAGAATCTTTAGAGTGTAGTCCCCTAATGTCGTGGGGTTTCACATCCCATTTCCATTGTTCTACATATTATTCTTGTCAAAACCTAAATGAGAACAAGTTTGCTGATAATGCTGTACAAAACAGCAGTATTTTTGACTGACCAAATAAAGTGAATAAAACAGACCTTCCTTACAAATACTGAGTCATATGTTATATTTTACCTTGATTGTAGTTTATTCAAACCTCAAACAAACAATGTGGTGCTTAATACTGATTGCTTGATACTGATACTGATTGCTTACTTTTCTGTATATTTTACATATCTACATTTTCATCATCACATTATCACTTTGTCTCAAATAATCTCAATTAGCTCTCAGCAAGTAGATTTCTAAGTACTGAATATTTCAAATTTCTAAGGTGTTTATCAGCAAGCTTTTAATAAACTGAGGAAGTGCATGCAGAGAAATAATAAGACAACTATATAAAGTTTCATGAATTTACATTTTATGGAATTATATGCAATCAATCATTGAGCACTAAGTTTTGAGTATGTGAGTATGCAAGTACCAGTATAAAAAGCAATAAAAATCATAGTGATTTTTGTACTGAGCAGTGCTTGCATGCTGCACACAATTGGAATAAAATAAAAGTCCTATTTCCTTAAAAAGGACATGAAAACTGACCTTTCCACCACCTTGAGCAACAATGATACCATGGTCCTTAGGATCTTCAGTTAAGGCAAGGAAGACTCTATATGTCAGAAACAAACGTGATTCAGAAATGCAATGTTTTTCAATCATGGATATAAAGTCTTTCCATTTTATTTCCTGCTGCTATTGAAATGTTTTATAGGGACTGATCATATCATCTTTCTTGATGGAGCACTCAAAATAATTAAAATGTGAGATTCAAACAGACAAAAAAAAGAATGGCTCTGTCTCTGTTAATTGCACTGGATTAATTCGTCAGACTGTTATGATTTTGCAGATAGCAAATTTGCTAGTTCACTTTGCAATTCGCTGTAATTTCCTTCGCCTTAAAAATGTATTGCTGTTTACATTGCGTAATATCTGTATGTAAACTGTTAGGACCGTGCAGGTATACCTCAAATTCCTATTGTAAATTCAAAATTGAAATCACAACCCTGATGATCACTGAGGTAAGGAAATCTTTAAAACAAGGTCAAGAGTTCTTAAGGACCCTGGTATTGTGGAGCAAATACTTTCCTTTTCAAATAAATTAAAGGCTTTTACATCAGTAAACATCCATTGCTTATCAGCAGCTCTATTAATAAGTACTTTGAGATACATGGTTATAGTAATAGGCATCTACGAGTTCAATAGTTGTTGTCTGCATTCTTCATACGTATGGAAATTTCTGACTCCCAGTAGATGGTACATAGACAGCACCCACCTTGCAAGCATCTCTTTGGTCTGGTCAGTCAGAATGGCGTTATCGGCCTTGACCATGCAAGTCAGTGCAGAGATCACACCAGCCTTCAGCAGTCGCTTCACTCGTTTCTCAATAAAATCCTTCTTGTCCTGCATGAGAAGGATGTGTTTTCATGCATATGTATGTAATGTATTTATTTGCCATTATGTCATGTTAACTTCCACACTTACTTCTGGAGAATCCGATTACTAAATGTGAAACCTGCTTAGTACTAAAGTAGCTTGTAATTCAAAATACTGCGGTTAAGCAAGGAGAGCAAGTGACTCTTTCCTTCATGGTAAACAGGCCCTCTTAACTAAGTGTAATAGTTGACTGCAAGTTCCCAATGTACCATCCGTAGATGGCACCATACAGTGTCTCTGGGTGATAAAGCCTGATACAACTGTTTCGTCAGTTCTATTGTACCTTGGGGTGCTGTTCAGGAACGTGCTGCTTGGAAAACTTAGCCAGTTGCACAAGCTCTGGAATAATTTCCTTCTTCTCATAGCTGTTAGTACAGTTCACCAGAGTGCAGGCCACAGCATACAGAATGGTCTTATCTGTGGACTGCACACAAAAAAAGAAACAGAAAATAAGCATAAAGGATGATACCAGAATAATACCAGGATAAGGGTGTTCCAGCACTTAGTTAAATAGCTGAAGTTTGTAAAACTAATTTGTTCAATGTTGTTTTTTTTTCTTGGTTTTAATTTCATTTCTTTGAGATGCTCTATTTCATGACTACAGAAGTCAGGCTGTGACAAGGTGATGCTTCTGTACAGACTCTTTGAGATACCTTGGACAGTTCAAACATGGCCTTCAATGCAGGTTCATCTTCCACAAAGTCATCTTTCACATCTGCGTCATTGGTGAGGTATGCAAGACCTTCTACTGCCCATTTTCGTGTGCGGACATCGATGTTCGGATTGCACAGCCATCTGAATGTAGCAAAAGCAAAAAAATTAACAACATTCCCAATCTATATCACACAGTAGTTTGCCCTGGATTTAAAAATTCAGCAGAGTTTACAGATCTTATATTGAATTTAGTTTGAGGTCCAGAACAAGCACATGGTGTACAAATGCAACACCAAATCTTTGATCAATCATAAAAAACAGGTCATAATGTCCTAAAAATCATTTCATTGTAACCAGGTCTTTATTGCAATTTCTGTCTATAGATATACAGTATATTTTAAGAGAAATTCTACAAAAGGAACAATGAAACATCAACAGAAGTGGCGGATACAAAAGGAAACGACATGAAAGTGCATTTAAGAGAAAGACTAAGAGGCACATCTTTACACAAAGGGGTGCAGGAGTCTGGAACAAGTCACTTTGACTTCCTTGAAGAAATGGCTGGTTGAAATCCAGAGATCAATAAGATACTGACTACCAAACAGGTTGGATGGTCTGAAAGACTTCTTCTGATTTGTAACTTATTCAAGCTAATTTCATATTTGTTCCTGCTATATTGCAAATTTGAGATATTGCACTGACCATTATTTAACATTTTAAAAAAATTGTTCAAGAAATGGTCACATCTGCAATGGCACAGTACCTGTGCAGGTAATGTAAATACCTATACAATGTTTTTTTAACTTCATTAAATTGCATTTAGCCTTTCCAGCCCTCTGTTTGTTTGTTTGTTTGTTTGTTTGTTTGTTTGTTTGTTTGTTTGTTTGTTTGTTTGTTTGACAAGGTAACAATACTGAGGCTCACTTTCTGCACTGTTTGGCCAGCTTTTCAGTGGAGCCCTCTGCAAACTGCCTCATGCTGTAATCATCCCCGCCAGCCGAACCCAGCTTGCAGAGACCCTGGACAAGGAAAACAGCAGATCAGTAGCTGAAGCTTGTAGTGGACATTTAAATAGTGTTAAGAAGATGATTCAATTAGTGGACAAATATGTCTCTTTACCTCAGACCAGGTAGGCAATGTTTAAGACAAAATCAGCATAGTATTAAACTGTCCTTGTGTTCTCCATAATGACACCGGTTCACCTTGCAAAGATGACGTCTCCCTATCAGCCTTGGCATAAACTGAGGTCAGCAAGCTGTGACTTTCCTTTACCAAACAGGCTAGATGTGTAAGTTGTGTATACTTTGAATGCAATAAATTGCAAAGGACGTGAGTCAAGAGCTTTACAACTCCCACAAAAGGAAGGATGTCCTCTTACACAGAAATCTGTAATGTCAGTGGAAGCCTTTCTTGCTCTCCTGCAGGACAGAAGTGCTTTAACTATGGCTTCCGCTTAAGCCACACTCCTGTACTTACCACCAGAGCGCGAATTTTGATTTTCTCATTCTTTGTCTTCTTGTAGATGTCCTTGAGCAGGGACACTCCGTTGGTGATGATGAAGGTGGCCCGACTCATCTTGGTGGACGCGTGAATGAGGGCCTCTACCGCCACCATCTGGTCAACCTCCCTCTCAGAGCCACACAGTGCCACCATCATCTCCATCACCCCCTGCATGCCCAAGATCTTGTTCCCCAAGTCGAAGGGACCCTGCAGCAGACCTGACACCGTCTGTATGGCGTGCAGATTCTTGTCCATGTCTTTGGGGTCGAACTTGCCTCTGCAAACAGAGAGAGCCGAAACGGCAGGAAGTGAGTTTGTAAATCTAGGAAGCGGATGGAGATGTGAAACGTTTATTCATTGCTTGGCCCCCACTGCTGAAATCTATTGTTCCATCTCGAAGCTAAGTGAAGACGATGATGGTGGATGTTTCCAAAATGCTGCACTCTTTTTATGCAGATACACAGTTCCCTGACATTAAAGGTACAAAAAGTTGATTTTTAAAATACCTGCAACTACCAGATTGTTTTATAGCAGCATAATCACTTTAATCCCGATGTGACAAAACTGTCAGCAAATCTAAGTTTATTCTTCATGGCCACTGCTTGGTAGTAAACCATGTCTAAGATCACTGTTTTCTGTACTTGTCTTGTGAAATGAAGCCTTTAAAATTGGGTTGGTATGGTAATTTTTGTGTTGTTTGGTTTATGATTGTATGTATAGTGTATATTGCTATGCTTGTTGCTTGGACTCTTTTTGCACATACAACTAACAATATATACAAGCGCCAATATGAACAACAGCGACACAGGCACACCTGACCTTTACTCTCTTATACTCGAGAAACTTAGTTAAAACTTCTATCTTTGCCACTTTAATGGAATGCAGAGAATAAGATGTCTTGTGGGTTTTTTAACCTTATAGACGTGGAAATGAGATGGCAGGACCACAAAGAAAAGCAGAATGAGAATACAGAGATGACTATGACAAAGGCTCGTGTTTGTGATCCCTACCAACCGGCATTCAATAGAATATTGTAACGCAACGGGGGCTCAGGCGGGCGCCCTTGCCGCATCTGGTCGGCCCAAAGTATAGGTGGCTCGAACCCGGGACTTCCGCGTCTCTCTGCAGCGACCTAGCCCCGTGAGCTAAAGAGAGATCTCTCCACAGCCCAGTAGCTGTGGTCCTGCTATCACAGGGAAGGGCGGTGACGTCACCCGCTCTGGTACGCCGGCTCTTACACACAGTGCTTGTCGGCCGTAAGCGTTACAATATAAAGCAGATGATATCTGAGCTCACGCAAATATTTCTATAAATATTTGGGAATATACATAGATATTAATCTGTCTTGGAAGGAACTTGTTGACTTTATCTGTAGTAAAGTACAACAATGAATGAACTTTATTTGGGGGTTATGGGTTTTTGGTGCTAGAAGTCAGGTTCTGTCCATGATTTTCAGTTCTGTGGTACAAAGAGTCAGGTAGTAGTAAACAACCATCTCATAAAACTTCTGATAAAGTGTCTTTCTGTGCTACAAAAAAGCCACAATGTCCAGACTCTTGGTGAGGTGTTGTAACACAGTGGGTCAGCCTCTTGAGCAGAGCTTTCAAACTGCTTACATTAAGAGAATTTGGAAATTAGCTGTTAGTATCTCCTCTGATCCCTTATGTTCTGCATGAAGAGTAACAACTGATGCCTACTACTTGATCAATTAACTATGATTGGTTATGGGCAAGTGCAATATGTGGTTAAAAATAAAAAGTATAATAAACATTGCAAGTGTAATGTTTATTTGTGCTGTTTACAAATTTTTGTAAGTCTCTGTGTGTAAAACATAGCTGCTTGAATGCAAAACAAAATTCTGGGAAATTTGACTAAAAAGTATTAAAGTGTATGAAATAACGGAAATAGCATTTTGGTTGTGAGAAAAACTATTAATCCAAATTTCTGTTTCCTTCAGTTTCTCTCTGGCAGATACATACATCACATCTGAGAACAAGATCTCCTGTTCCATTTATTTCCATTTGCCCATGTAAATGACTTTACCGACAGTATGTTAACCTATGTAAGACAGAAATACTTTGGTTAAATCCTTTAATGGCCATCCAAGAAACAGAATTTAGACAGAATAAAACTACAAACTCTTTAGATGGCACTGAGCAAAATTTGAGAGAATAAGGATTTTGTACATTCCTACACAAACAGGGATACCGTATAGTGAAAGTCTGATCCATCTGATTGGGTAGACCACAAAGAGTTAAAATAAAAATAGAAAAAAGAATTAGATAAAGAAAAATGATGGAAAGAGTTCTTGGAAATATCCAAATCTGTAAGTGTCTTTGTGATTCAGCTGGTCCAGGCGTTCACAAAAGCATAAGTTGGACTCTTTTGCCACTGGGAACACTCACCCAAAGAAGGCTCCACAGCTGAAAAAAAAATGTTTCTTTTTTCTCTTTAAAGCATGGAATAAACCATTACTTGTTCCTTTGCAACCTACACATGCTGATGCAGCTACCCACCTGAACTACTCTTTGCCACTAGCTGATTGTGACCGGACTGGCCAAGCAGTGCACAGGTAGTTGAGCACCACCAAGAGTAGAGTTGGGATTAGCTGCCCAGCGTTCCCTCAGTTCCCAGTGACATGGTGACCCCTAGTGCACCCTAGTGGACATCTGCAGACTTGCATTGCTCTCAGTGAGGGTCAAGGGAGGAATTGTCCGTCCCCCAGCTGGCATTGAAGCTCCTGTATGGGATGATTAGCCTGTGGTGTTGTGAAAGATGAACGGATCAGAGGAGTCCAGCTACATTTCCACATTCTCCCCGTGTGTGGTGGCAAGGCTACAAACCTGTGAGCCAATACTTGTGAAACCACACAACCGGCAGTTCAAACCTGGATCAGTGTGTGGCACTTTAAAGAAATCTGCCTTGACCTACTTGATGTACTCCTGACATATCTCCCGGTAGTTATCTCTCTCGGGGTCACAGCGCAGGTCGTCGTAGAGCTTGTTGAGAAGGACGCTGGCAATGAGCTGCGTGTTGTCAGTCATAGGCAGCTGGTCAGGGAGATCTGGAACCTGCCCTACCACTTTCAAAATCTTCTTTAAACCTGCAAGAACACATCACACCTCAACAGCCCTTTCCACAGCTCCGACACACAAAGGCACCAATTCCAGCTCAGACCTGAAAGATTTGAGCCGGTACAGATTTATAATGTTCGTGCCAGGCCCTGAAAAACAGGTCTTTGTTTTCAACCTAACAATTCAGCTTTTCTTTATATGCTTCTGAAATAAAACTATGCCCTTTAGTAAAGAAAACTCCAGAAATCTGTTTTTAAGTAATAAACGGTGTGCGTTATTAAAGATAATTCCTTGATGAATATCCAGGCGAGGCTCATTGATAGGTTTTGAAATGTACTGCTCTGTGCTGAGGTGATCATTTGCTTTCCTATTTTTAAAGGTTTGTCTCTTGTAACGAAATGGAAAAAAATGAATAACCAAATAACGTATTTTAAAAAATAAATATGTATGTAACAAGTAGGGAAGAAAAAATATCAGCTAGCAAACACTTACCATGGTCAATGGTGAAGAGTGTCTTGGAGTGATCAGGGTCCTTTTTGTTTGTTCTGGGCACATTCTTGGTCAGCAGATTGAGAGCTTGGTCTCGTCCATGTCCTGACACGTTTTTATTGATGACCATATCCAACAGAGCTAACAGAATTGCTTTGAGATCCTTTGTGGTATCTGTACAATAAAAGCCAAGGACAAGGGATTGACACAGGGGAACAGCACAATTCTGAAAGTAAAAAAATAAGACCAAGGAACAAAAGAACATAAGCTTCATGCAATGGTAATAAATGCTTTCTACCATGATTCTATAGGATTTTTTCATAAGGATTACAAATCAAGAAAATTAGAAGAAAATTAGAATATGTACACAAGGAAAAGTGCAAGGGAAATATGTATACATATACACATTAATCTATTTTATCATAAGAAATACTGCAATTTTGATAACTCTTTGTTTTTTTAGGTCAGTTCAGCTATAGTTTCCCACTGTCTAAACAGGGATTTAATCTGAAATGAAAATAATAACTGACAGTGTTAATCCAATACTTTTCTCAGAGTCTGTTTCATACAGTATCTAATTAACAAATAATTCCTGTCAAAATATTGTGAACGAAGCCAATTTTTTTTCCCCACAAAGGATTGTGGATTTCTGGGGATTCACTGCCCAGCTACTGTATATTATTGAAATTCCTAGCAACCAAACACGGTCACCAGTAGCAGCCAAACAACCTCCATTCTTACTTAAGAGTTGTAATGATACATTCTAAAACATAAAGGAGGGAAAGTATTTACCAAGAACCAGAGCTTCTTCCTTTCCATGGTCTCTCTTGTCCTTGCCAGAAAGGGAATCATAGATGCACTGGAAAAGGTTACAGGTGGCCAGGGCAATTTCTTCATGGTCCACTCCCAAAATGCTGCACAGCTTCTCAATTCCAACCATATGGACTATAGCAGTTGCCTGTATTATGTATACAGGCAGCATATTCATTAGAAAGAAGATGGTCATTGATGAAAAACACAATATGCATAACTTTAAATCCACATAAGCTGTAATTGTTCAAGAATTTTAAAGGGTTATTGACTGCCAACAAACTTACGAAACTTATGAAACGTTCTTCATCATGGGACAAATTATTCAAATGTATCTACATTTTTGCAAGGCTTGGTAAACTCCTTTCTAAATCACAAGATATGATATCCATGCAATATAAGATATGCAGAGTGATATTTGTCCTGGGCACAATTATATTATTGCAACATACTGTATAGCTGCCAGTGACTAAAAGCAAACCTGTGCTGCTATCTTCATAGATCTTTCACAAACATTTGAAAGTAATGTCTAATAATAATTCCACCGCTTTAAATAGGACTCTCTTGCATGGTTTCCAACTAGATTTTAAAAAGATCTTAAGACATAGGAACCAAATACTTGACAGACAAATTAACATTGGAATAAGATATACACTTAAACTTGGGTTCACAAGTTGGGAACCTTAATCAAGCAAGCTGGTGAATGTGAGCAAAAACAAATGAATGGGGAAACATATTGATTTCTGCAAGTCACTTTACCACCTTAATAAGCAATTCATTCTGTGATGATAAGTGACTTACCCTAGCTTTATGGCCAGTGCAAATGCCAGACATGGCTCTTATTGCTGCCAGAATCATCTCAGGCTTGCCGGTATCAATCAGCTGGAGAAGCAAATTGACTCCATTGTTCTGAAAGATTCTCTCTGCTCCTCCATCTTCTCTTGCAAGGACAATCAAGTTGTTTGCAGCCTTGAGACGGTGAAGAATAAAACACAGCTCATGACCTGAAAAGATTTCTGACGACTGCTGAGCAATAGTTCCACTAAAGTAAAAGCTTTCATTTGTCCATTTTTACAAAATACTGTTTTGTAAAATATATCGGCCCTCTATATGTCATCTTACATATTAGAGACGGAGGGAGAGTATTGTCCTTTGCATAACTTAACGTGATCTTAGAAAGCTGCCACAAATACTATCTGAAAAAAGCAGACTGTGATGCAATATCCCATGTTACTGAACTGGAACGGACGATAATCCAATGATATTTTACAAAAGCCACCATCTTGGCTCAAAACGCAAGCCCAGTGGAGTGACCTTGAGCCAGGATGGCCTTCTTATAGTTGAAAAACACAAGAAAGGCACAGCTGAGCTGGATGAGTCATTAGCACTCAGAGGGAGTGAAATTACATGTGAAGGAAAGGAGCCATCAAGAAAGGCTCTGTGTGGAATTAACCTCTCTTCTGGGGTAGTAAAAAGACTTATATAGGAACAGCTTGGAGGACAGGGGCTTCAGTCTGTTTCTAGGTTCCAGTCTAGGAGGAGGGAGAGTGAGCTTCAGTGAGTGAGGAATGTTTGAGAAAATACAGTTTAGTCTGTGCTGTGGGTGTCACAGATGCTGCACACACAGACTGCGTGGTAGTTTGTTTGCCAGGCTCAGTGAGGTTGAAGTGTACTTCTGAGCAACAGGGTTGATTTTCTGAACAAGGGCTGACTGGAGCTGTTACCCCCTGGAAGATGGGCATTGCCTGACAAGATAGCAGCTTATCTTCTCCCCACAGCTGAGAGGCAGGGGTCTAGATGTCACAGGTAGAGTCCCGAGGACCAGTGCTGCTTGAGATTTGGGCAGCACGGGGGTAATTGAGTCCAATACTTCACAGTGCTTCATGGGTAATGAAAATAGCTGATGAGAAGATCTAGCGACTTGTGTAAGTAAAGCCAAAAGAATACCAACCTGGAAGGAGGAGGACTGTGCAGTCTTCCCTGAGAGGGGACCCACGTGAAAGAGCGAGGGTCCCAGAGGGTGTCCAGAAGGTAAAGATGGACCACTCAAAAGGTGAGAAAACTATGGTGACAGGCTGGCACCATTGGAATTAAGGGATTAAGGTGGTGTGTGTGTGTGTGTGTGTGTGTGTGTTTGTGTGTGTGTGTCAGAGTTTGTCATAGTAGAGTTCTAGATTTTTGACAACAAATGAAACGAAGTTTCATTTATTTCAAAACAGAATTTGGAAATTGTTTCAAAGTTGGTGAAGTATTGTTAGTGCCCTTTCAGAGGAGGAAATCGCATTGAAAAGTCGTTTCAACCAACCTTTTCTTTCTTATCCTTGTCTGCGTCATCACCAAGCAAGATGTCAAACATGGTCTGTACTCTGGAATCAGTGGAGAACTGGACCTTCAGCTGCAAAGAGAAAGAAATCGATGTCACCACGGCAGATTTAGCCACATTCCTCTTGAACACCACACTCATTTTTCATAGAAAGTGATGGAAATATTTTGGCAACATCAGCTGTCTTACATTTGGAGGTTTCTGACTTCCTGTAAAGGGCTTTTCATTTCTCCATTGTAGTGAGCTTCATAAAATGTGTTTAGTTTACTTGAACATTGAAATGAAGTTTTGCTACGTGCAAAACATATTGTTATGGAGTGACAATAAGTGATCAAGATACTTTTCTTTAGCCTCACATGCTAAGCTGCTCTACCTCCAAAAATATCGCCTTGCAGGACACCTGAGACAAGACTAACCTTCCCCTGAATCTCTGCTCCCAGCCTCCGCAACGTCTCCAGGAAGGTTTTGTTTTTGGGCTCAATCGTGGCACATCTCTGGACATCTTTAAAAGCCTGGTCCAGTTTCCCCAGCTTTTCCAATGCCTGGCATCGCCTGTACAAGGCTTTAATGTCTGAGGCATCGATATCGATAGCTAAGGAGGAATACAGTAGGTTAAAAGCTTCTTAGACATCATGAAGATTCAGGGGGTCTAGTGAGCGTTACAGTATATACAGTTCTTTAGGTCTAATTGGATTCTTTATTAAATTTAAAACACTGCACAATGCATTTAAAAAACTGCAAAAAACAATGCATTAAAAACTCTGCTACCTCTATGACATTTCCATTGGTCTTGGTCTATAGTAATTAAAGGGCATTTGAAAACCACCATATTAATAACTTAAAAGCAGGCTTTGATTAATGATTTTCTTTCACTCATGAAGATATGATGTGAAAATAGCTTTCAAAACTTGAAACTATTTCAGTCACACCATCGACATTTAAAATTACAGTATGTGTCTTAAAATTTTGCTTTGTGAGCACATTGTTTACGTACTAAGGAGGTGATTCTGCACCTTAATGAATTCTTTTTTAGCATTGCATTTCAGTCTCATTGTCAAACTTGATGCATTAGACTCTTCACAATACTTACAGCTGTGATTCAAAAATCACAAAGGCTGTGTCAGTTATTTCAATTATTCTCTACATCATATCTTACCTCTTGATGCATCAGATGCTGCCTGTGCATAATGCTCCTAAAATGAAAAGAGATTTGTCACAAAGTAAATATGATGAGAATAACAGTTATCGACAGGAAATGAGTACAATGACAAAGTCCCCAATAATGCCCCAGATATTTAAAATTTTCATACAATGCCTAGCTGACCTCTCTCAGCAGAGCTTTGCAACACATGAAACAATTAACTGCTCTGCCAATGAAAGGCCTTTAATGAACTAAATGAAAATAATTTAATTTAAATCTTACCTTTTTTAAGTAACAGGCTGCTCTGTTCCTGTAGAGAATTGCCAGAACTTTTTTGTCCTTACAAACCTTGATGGCCATTGTGTAGCATTCAGCAGCTTTGTCATATTCATTGGCCTGGAAGTGCTTGTTGCCTTCGTCTTTTAACTGGATTGGATCTCCCATCTACAGTACAAGAAAAGGGAAGTGTTCAGATCCTGTCTTGTTCCATATAAAAATAAATAGAGAAAAAAACATTGGATAATTCCTATCACATTTGTTTGCATTCTTTATCCCAGTTGATAACAATAGGTGACAACTGCACTATATTTGAGTTGAACAACCTTAAGCAGAAAAAAACACACTGATGTGCATGTACTGTGACTAGTTTCTAGTTTCTTCACGAGCAGACACAGATCTTGGTCCAGGTATAAACAACTTATTAGTTGGATAAAATTGAATAAGAATAGGAGAAGACAGATTCTTGGACCCAGCTCTCTGTAAAACAGATACAGTAGATAGCATTGTGGCTAAAGGTGCCTCAAGCAAAAAGCAAGTGAAGTAGTGAAATGCACTATGTAAAAACTGTGACAGGGCGCATGATTACTTCAAATAGTTACTGTACACAGCTGCACTGATCCCACTGATACAACTGTGACACTGCAAGAAAGACTGATTTTCCACAATGATTTTTTGACAATGATGTTATTGTCTTTTATTAATGATTTTTTCTTCAAAACCTAGATATTTGACAGTCTTCTAGGATTAAGCCACATCTTCTTTGCAGGATTGGGTACATGTTAAGGAGATTAATTTAATACACAATTCCACATCTTCAAGTACCAGAAGCAAAACACAGACATAACTTTCCTACTGAATGCAAAAAAGATATTGCAGCAAATGAGGTGTATGCTTAATTATTTGAATAAACCTTTTCTGTTTTACATTAATTTAATCTTTGCGTTTCTGAGTTCAAGACACATAAATGTAAGACATGGATTAGGCTATAGCATTTCACAATTATAAAATCCTTAAATTAAAAAATTGGATTTAGTTATTGTTATTTCACATGAATTAATATAGAAAACACAGAAAATAAACGAATAATTCTTTGATGGTTTCTATGATGATTTACTGTACATGGATCAAAACAACAAAAATCAGAAAACATTTCACTTTAATTGCCAATGTAAATCTTTTGAACATTAACTTGGTAACAATTCCAACAAAAGGCAATTCCAGGACTTTTAAAAAGCATTTCCTTACCTTTTCTCACCAACTAGTAAGCCAAAGTAAGACCAGCTATTAGGAAGACAGAACTCTTGACCAAATAGCCAAGCACATGTTATCGTAAACTTTAAATCCCTGTGTTCATGCCATATATGGGCAGTATTCTGAACTCCCAAGTGGCCTATCAGTGACATGTCACTGGCACCTTTGACAGCTCCTAGTGATGGCAAATCAGCTTTCAAAAAGAGTCTTAACTGTAAATCTATGCTTTGTTAAAGAGTAACAGAAATATTACACCATACCTTGTCAACCGAAAATGTGCTTCCCCCTGCTTTACGTAGATTAGTTAGCACTTGTAGTAACTTGCTGTGTCACTAAACACTGTCCCCAAGACTGACCTCCTTGTACCATATATATCTCAATGAAATGGACATCAGCCAGGGAGACAGTACTACAATGTAGACCCCAGGTGGTTAGGCCCAGAGAAACTACCAGGACATGCTTATATTGGTTTATAGAATAAGAAGGAAAAATGTCAAAATACATTTGTTAGGTATGTCAGACGGACAGCTGTACATTTGTAATGTAGGAGGGCACTATTTGTTTTAAAACTTTTGCTAAACACTGCACAATCACCCCTTTAAAAAGTGGTCTGACTGTGCCCTGACTATTTAAGGAATATCTGTGACAGCTGAGAATTCTAGAGCAAACGTTTTGGCTGACTTATGAGGGAGAGAGAGCCGTCAACAGCTGTAGGTGTAGCAAAGGCCTAGTAACTTCTAGAAAGTGCTTTCTGTCCAGAGAAAAACTCAGAGTTTGTTCTTATCTTCTGATATTTTAAAGGCATCGCAGGAAACTACCTAATGGAATGCATTTGACATGACCTGTGTTGTTCATGTTTGAAGGGGACTGAAAAGGACATTCATGCACAACAGATGTGCCATTCATGCACAACACAATCAAATATATTAGATTGTTAGGAAAAACTGAATTACAGACTTTGCAGTGTTTCATATTATTTTTGAAAATAAAAATAACACCATCTGTAGGCATGAACATGCATTTTTTTTAAATATTAATTGTTTTACCTGGAGATCCTGGAATCATAAGTGTAGACACCTTGTAATTATTTTCTTAATACAGAAAAGCCTCAGTAAATTCGCAAGACATTAAATTCTTCAATGACTTTGTGATGTGGAAGTTTTCAGTTTAATCATGATTATGATTTTCCATGAGACTTTTAATACCTCTAATGCCTATGGTTCTGTTAACAGAGAGTAAAAACTGGCAAATGTGATCACAACTTGACATACAATAAGTAGGGTTTTCACAGTATTAACATCAGCTTAGAATAAGATCCCATCTTGTTTTTCCTTAGAAGGTAAATTTATCTCTGCAAAGCTACCAAGAAATTAAGGAATAAATAAAAAAATGTTTCTTATTAACTAACATACTAAAATCTTATAGAACATATAGCGGAATAAATATATTTGTTAGATGTGTTTTTATAATAATAATAATAATAATAATAATAATAATAATAATAATTGCTTACACTTATATAAGTAAGATGTAAGATTGGTAAACAGTGAGGATTACCAAACCAAATGGCCTATAAACCATATATAAACAATCTTACAAGTATTTCTAGAGACATTCCAAGAGTAAACATTTGCTTAGTTGTAAAAAGGATGTTTCAATTCATTTCATTTGAAGATTTCATCTTTAAAAACGGATAAATAGTGTAATTTGAAGAGCAATCCACTAGATGGGGGTACGAACTTCTTTTTGCACTGAAGTATTTTAATAATCTTGACGGAGGCGATAGAAAAAGCAGTAAAGCCAAGAATTCCAACCACAGCCATTGACCCAAAACACGCCCGTATTTCTGTTGTCAACACGTCTTCGTGACCTAATTTTTATCATTCTGTAGTCCTGTTTAACACTTGGATTTATGATGAACCACTCCTTTCTTTAGCTTAAGCTTTCACGAATACATCAGAGGAGAAATGAGAGCCATGAGGACGACAAAGCATCGTGTTAATGTAAAATATTCCTTGACTATTAGAGCTCTAGAATGATTATGTATTTTATATGATTGTAGTATTCATGAGATATGTTACTGAAATTGTATTTATCCTGACCCTGTTGTTGGTAATGGTTTTCATGAGGTACTGCTGTGTTGGACTCTGCCATTAAACACATTTTCCCCAGGGAACAATCAAAATGTTTAAATTCAATCCATCCAAGACACCAGCAAAGATTTAACATTCATTCAGCATTTTCTTTTTAGAAATTAATAAAGCAATATAGCAACTGTAACTGGTCAGTGAACTCTAGATCTCGTGCAAGTTTACGGTAGTTTAATAACAACGCACTCCAGCCGGAAAACAGAATATCGTTTCGGTGTCAGTGACGAGGGAGTGTCCAGGCGATACGTGACATTCAAATTGCGTGCGTTATCGAAAGCCAGATAACTGCAGAACAAATATGTAGTTATGTTTCAATAGTTCCTGCAGTTCTTTACAGAGATCAGCGCTCAGTTCAGTGGCTTTCCTTTCGTTCTTTCCCAGACTACCGCTGTTCTAAATTTCTCGTGTTCTGCACTGTATCTTTTCTGTAGACTGTGAACTTACTAAGGCACTCATCTAAACTTCCAGCTGCTAAACACCACTATTAATTTAATTGTTGGATAACAGGGTCTTTACGTACAATACATAACTCTTTAAATCTATTTTAAAATATTGAATAGATTTATAAAGACGCCAGAATAATCTGGATTATTATGATTATTCATTTACTTTTGTCGGATATCGTTATGGAAGTGAAGTTTCAGTTATATAGTGTTAGTTAATGAAAAGCTAATGGAAGGCTAATAATAGAACATAGGAGAAATTATTACAATTCGCACAATTAAAAAAACAGAATTTTTAAAAATATAAAAATGATTATTCTTAAAGGATGGAAAAATGTAGTGCTACTACATGCACTAAGGTGACTAAGGAGAGCAGAAATCAAAATGTAGTCTTCAGAAAGCAATGGAAGGTTTCCTGGACTCCGCAGTCACGATGTCTAATAGCGTCTGATTCCAGTAAAGCGTATCTAAGCACAGGAGGCCTGGACGCAAACCAGTAACCAGTTACTGATAACCAGCTGGCCAACTGGAAGGGCGTAGGCACACAAAAGAGATGAGAAACTAAGAAGACGCAAGAAGATAAAGTGGGCCGTGCAGTCTTCTAGGAAACCTGAAAGAAGACAGGCAGCCATCTGAGGCTCAGAATGGGAGAGTATAATGGCTGGGTGTGGCAGGAACTGAGAGCAGATGAGATTCCAAGTTCAGCTGAGATGTAAGGACTGTGAAAACCCCACCTATGTCAATGTGTGATCACATTTGCCTGTTTTTGTACTCTGTCAGAGAACTTTGTGGCCACAGAATGTCCAAACCAATATATCTGCATGGTGCTCATACTCCTCCACATCCGCAGGTTGAATTCTCCAGATGGTTAAACTCACTGCTTGGCTGCTGAGACCACAAGGCACAGGTTGTAACAGTTGTTAACAGGGGGTCAACCTCCGTGTCCGGGCCTAATGCCATCTTTGATTTGCTCAGCCTGGTCTATCTAAAACTCCTCATTAGCTGAATTGAGGAAGTGCGTTCATTTGTCTGCATCATCTGCTGTGAAGCGATATTCTTGGTAGATAATGGCTGCTGTGTGTCTCTGCACTGGGTGCTGCATTTCAGGAGCGCATGAAATGGGTGCTCTCCTATATGTAAAGCGGCTTTGGGATGAAAAGTCCTGTATCAAAGCAAAGTTTTATGATCATTGAATGAATATATTTGAACTTTTCCATAGTACAAACATTGCCTAATCAATACACATAAATACATGGGGCCCACTACTGAGGCAACCAATCAAACAAACCACCCGAACGTCATGGAAATTGCCCTCGCGTCTTGTGATCCCTTACAAACGAAGACTGACAGTACGTACTGTACAGTGCCCTGTTTACTGCATCAGCCAGATCTCAGGTGTAGCTGAGCCACCGGCAGCCTGCAGACAGCCGCCGCCTCTGCTCGTCCTACAGTATCTCGCATATCCGCCTATGTGCGCTGAGCTGGGCTCTGGGGAGGTAAGCACAGAGAGGGGCTGGAGTGCGCGCAAAGAGGCGGAGACTTGTTTCTCTCTCGGACTGTGAGGCTTGCAGAGCGAGCGGCACCGTTCGCGGACATACGGCGAGCAGGGAACCGGGCAGGTACGTCGCGTTGTCTAGCGAGGTGTGCATGTCTATCCCTGGAATAATATCGACCTGTGAAATCAGAAGGATTGCTGGTTGCCGAAATAAAGACTTGTATGGGCCAGAGCGATCAGAATACATAAGGTAAGAATTTGCATTTATTGTGTTGTCGTCAAAAACATGCATTATTTTCCTTCCTGACCCACCTGTGTAATGTAAACGAGGAGCTGCGAGAAGTTATCATATCGGTGCAGTTCTAGGTGTGCCTCGCCACTTTCAGGACAGCTGGTGAGCGGTGCGAACGGGCTAGCCCTGAATTGTTGTGTTTATATTTCACTGTGAGTGTTAGACTGAATATGGTTCATTACAAAGGAAGCAGATTTCTACCGTTTGAGATGCAGTCCTTGCGTCGGTATACTGTTATTGCAGAGGGCTGTTAAATCAACAGACTGAAATCCACAGGAAACGACACTGTCTCCTTAAAAGAAAGTACTCTGCTTTTATAACCGCTTTGTGAACTGTTGCCGAAAATATTGCGACATACGGTTGTTCCGTGAAGAAAAGTATACATTCCATATTGCAGAAGACGTGATTCCTAGTATTTCTTCCGAATTCGTTGAAGTCAACTAAAAAACGTATTTGCTTATGACCCTGATTGTAATTATCATAATTCAGCTGTAGAATTGTCTCAGTAACTTGTTTCAATGATATGTTGTGCTTATATACATTATATAGATGTCATAACAGAAGAACAGGTATTAAGTGCTGTAAAGGGAGGTGACAGTAGGAGGAAACAGAATTGTTTTCTTCTGATCGGTTCTGGCTGGTTACGTTTTAAATATATGTGGACTTCAAACCAAAGTTCATAAACAGCATTTACCCCAGCACAGTAAGTCTCTTCCTTCCTAGCCTGTTTAGGTTTTGAGGAGAAATAATGAAGAAAACAAAAGCAGTTAGTTATGTAAATACGTATTATATATAGTATTCATGTACCTCGGTAGATTCCTGTTCGAGATCTATTGAATGTGTTTTCAAAATATTCCAAACAATTTTTGTTCCATTTAGCAAAAACTATGAAATCATGGTACTTAAATTTGTGATGGATGTTGTACAGAATAGCTTTCTTTCTTCGAAGTAGGTTTCACTGCTGATCAGACATAATTCCTTTTCTGGAAAATGTCTGGGTCTACTAAAATCTAAAATGCTGGAAATGTAAACAAAACATCAACAACGAAATGTAAACAGAAGTTATTATGTCACATTCACTGTTTAGACTGTTTCTTAAGGTGTAATCATATTATGTATAAAATCAAGATTTGTGTTTGTCTTGTATGTAATTTATCCATTATCCATTACTTTATCAAATATATATTGATATAATAATATGAAAAAAAGAATTCTTACATTACAAGGCCTTACCTAGAGTGCTAATATAAATTATTATTTGCATATATATATATTAATCTGTAAAAAATTGACATAGAACATATTTTATATATTTTAATGTATATGGAAATATACTGTATAGAGAGATTTAGTGTCAAATTAACTCGGACCTTTGGATAGTGTTTTTACAACTTTATCCATTTCATTACTGCAGAAAAAGCAAGACGTTTTTCGAATATTATTTGTGATGGTATTGTTTGAAATTCTGTTGTTTAATGTGGTTTGTATAGGGTATTACAGTACATTTTACGGAAACATTGTATTTTTTAATCAAGTTTAGGGTTTGAAGTGTTTTTGCATCTGTAATTTGCATATACTCTACTGTGCAGCACATATTGACCTGTGTTCACTGCAGTGTTTCAGAAAAATTTAGTTTGAGACAATTGGTTATACTGGTTAGAAAGTAACTTTGACTTTTCCTTGTCAACATTACTGTTATTTCTGAATGTAGTGAATTTATTCTGAATGAAACAACACAAAGTGCACTTCAGTCTGAGAAGAGCCACTACTTTACACAAATGGCTGTGGGAGTTTGGAACCACCAAGCCATGTAGTTAAAGCCGATAGCCTGGTTTCTCACAAAAAACAGACTAGCTGAACCAGGATGGCTTCCTCTTGTTGACTGCCATTCTCATATTCTTCAATACAATAAGATGATGATATTAGCCAGCAGCCATATCACTCTGCAACTCACAGCTGCCAGCCCACTGAAGCTAGGCAGGTGTGAGCCTGGTCAGTACCTGGATGGGAGACCTCCTGGGAAAAACTAAGGTTGCTGCTGGAAGAGGTGTTAGTGGGGCCAGCAGGGGGCGCTCACCCTGCGGTCCATGTGGGTCCTATGCCCCAGTATAGTGACGGGGACACTATACTGTAAACAGGTGCCGTCCTTCGGATGAGACTTAAAACCGAGGTCCTGACTCTCTGTGGTCATTAAAAATCCCAGGGTGTTTCTCGAAAAGAGTAGGGGTGTAACCCCGGCGTCCTGGCCAAATTTCCCATTGCCCTTACCAATCATGGCCTCCTATAATCCCCATCTATGAATTGGCTTCTGCACTCTGATCTCCTCCCTACTGATAGCTGGTGTGTGATGAGCATACTGGTGCACTATGGCTGCCGTCGCATCATCCAAGTGGATGCTGCACATTGGTGGTGGAGGAGGGGAGTCCCCATTATCTGTAAAGCGCTTTGAGTAGAGTGTCCAGAAAATGCTATATAAGTATAAGTAATTATTATTATTTAAGAGCCATACTGTCTCAGCTCATTGTGTTTTTATATTTCTGAACGTTCAGAGTTTGTTAATGTTTAGCCCTGAAATGGAATTTCTTTGTGCTTAAGTATAAAGAGTCATAGATGTGACAGTATTTTATAGAGACGTACAGTCTTTTTTTTTCTGGAATCTTCCGGGAGTTCCATTGCAGGTCATCTGTGATTTAAATTTTCTGTCTGAAGTGATCTCTTGTTTTTAAAATCATAAAAACGGTCCCAACAGGAGCCTTTTTTGTTCTGTCATAGTTCATCCAGCTACAGTGGGAGTTGGCAAACTCCCACTGAATTAGCTGAAGCATGAACATATAACACCTGCCAAGTGAAAATTTCCATGCTTGAACCAACTTCTGCTACATTGTCTGAAATGACGTGTGGTGTAGGCTTCAGAAGAAGGATAGCCGCGATAAAGACAAACCTGTCTGTAATGAGAATCAGCAGCAAGGCAGAACTGACTCTCAAAGTTTGCTGTTTGCTGTTCACGTTTGCCGTTTAAAGTTGCCTCCTGAAGCACAGTCAAGGAGATGAAGCAAAATGCAGTTATCAGTATCTGGTAAGGACGGCCCTGCTGGACACCTCACTAAGATAAAATAAACAAATGTCAGTTAATTATCAGTGTTAGCATCCAGGAAGTAAAAGTGTATACCTTTATGGGAAAAAACAAGATCTTTTTTCAGTCCTTATTTTAGCACTTGGGAGCATTTTACAGTTGTCAGAAAAAGTTTGGGAGCCCTAAGGAATTATATGGATTTCTGCATGAATGGATCCTGAAATATGATCTGATCTTCATCTAAGTCATCATAATAAATACAGTCTTATTTAACAAACAACAGACAACATTTTACACTGTCATATCTTTGTTGAACTGGTTTAAACAATCAAGGTCATTGATGGAGAAAGTATGTGAACCCTTATATTTAGTAACTAGTGAACCTCCTTTATGGGCAAAAACCTCAACCAAACTCTTTCTGTATCTGCTGATCAGACCTGCGCAGTGGTTAGGAGGTATTTTGGCCAATTCCTCTATACAAAACTGTTTCAGTTCATGTATATGTTTGGGATGTCTTGCTTGAACAGCCTGCTTCAGATCACACCACAGCATCGCAATGGAATTGAGGTCAGGACTATGACTTGGCCATTCTAAAATACAGAATTCCTTCTGTTTGAGCCACTCTGTTGTTGATTTACTCCTGTGTTTTGGATCATTTTCATGTCGCATGACCCAACTTCTTTTGGGTTTCAGATCACAGCCAGACGCCCTGACATTCTGCTGTAGAATTTCCTGATACAACTTAGAATTCATTGGTCCCTCAATGATTGCAAACTGTCCAAGCCCCGAGGCAGCAAAGCAGCCCCATATCATTATACTCCCTCCACCATGCTTCACAGCTGGGATGAGGTTTTGGTGGTAGTGTGCAGTGTTTTGTTTTCTCCAAACATGTTTTTATATGGCTGGGCAGGTCAAACCCACACCTGAATTCACTGGAACACCTGACTCATTGATTGGAATACCTGACTCCAGTTACCCTCTTTTCTAGATAATCGTAGAGATTCACATACTTTCTCCATCAATGACCTTGATTGTTTCAACCATTTGTTCAATAAAGATATGGCAATGACAATTATTGTGTGTGTTGTTAAATAAGACTGTATTTATTATTATGACTTAAATGAAGATTAGATCACATTTTAGGAGCCATTCATGCAGAAATCCAGATAATTCCAAAGGGTTCACAAACTTTTTCTCACAACTGTACAAAAGGGTTTCTGGTTTAACAAAAGACCACATGTAGAGTGAAGAATACATAGTTAAACATCAGCAATATTCAATAATGTTCAAGATACTACTCTGAACGACAGAAGGGCTTTTCAAAATTAAGTCATAACTGGAGAGTTAATCGAGTTAAAAGTAGGAACGAACATTGAAAACAGTGTTTGGGGTTTTGAAATAATATCGATTTAGAGAAATTAGACAGTCTTCAGAAATAAAATGTTGTTTTAAGCATACATGGTAATACAATCTCTAAATTACATCAGAGAATGTAAGTAGGTAAAGGGGAAGTTGTTGACTTCAAGCAGGATCATCCACTTTCCGTGTCAGATGTGAGAAACACTTTATTACATTATCAGATTTATGCACACAGAAGAGTAACTTCCCAGTATCACTGGCTAGACAAAGGCATGCACCTGTGCTTTTGAATAATTTTCTTTGTGAAATTCCCTTTACGAACTCTTCCTCCATCATGAAACCCAGCAACAGTCACAAATAGTGGAAACAATCAGGTTACCCAACATTTTTAAAATTTCTGACATACTGTAGCTATATGAGTTTATCAGACAAAATGTGTTCCTTAAGAATCTATTAACCCAAAGCTTTTTTGTGTTAATAGATTCAGCTTCTTCTTAATTCAATCACTCTGTTTCAAGGTGGTCAA